TCGATGTGGCAGAGATTCAAACCGACGAAGAAATTTGTAATGCGGCAAACAAAATGGGTCAATACTAATGATGAAGAAGAAAACAGCGAGGCACCCCTGGCACCCCATCAAACATGGAAATTGTAGAGGCTTAAATGTCCTTAAGAGAGTTGTTCAGCATCGTGTGGATGAAATAGGTTTAGAGCCGCATTATTTATATAAAAATATGGATATGGAGTTACATGACACAAAAAAATAAACTTCGATCGATAAATATTTTAAATAATATACATATACATACATAGTGTTAACATTTCGTAGTAATATTGTATGATCTATAGGTAGTACTAAATACTATTGCTAGATCCAAGTAAACAGTTGTACATTTATTTTTATTTTTGAATAAATCGTAAATGTAGCTTGATACTGTTTCAGTTACTTGTTCAGTACGTTTGCCAGGTCTAAAGCCAAATGAGTACACTATAAGAGTTTATTATATTCAAGGTAATGATTATCTTTTTTAGTAATTTTTTTAAAAGATTTAGCAAAATTTGGTGTTTGTGATATCGTGCAATAATTTTCAACATTGGATCTGTCACATTTTTTTGAGTATTGGTATTATCAAAGAAATATAAACATATTGGAATTGTAGATGTTCTATGTCTAAATTAAAAATGTGTGATAATGGTTTAGTAAATGAATTATTTAATTTGAGTATTTTTACTGAAATTCTATCGAATCCTAGAGAAGAATTATTTTTTAATACCTTTATTKCTTTTATAATTTATTCTTTATTGATTATGCTAAATTTATTAAATGAAATGTCTGTAGTATTTGAGGTTAGTTGTTCAGTATCTAAACAGTCTATGTTATGTATAGTTTATCTTATATGTTTTAATTTGTTATACATGTATTGTGCTGCATTTGTAGAGTACTCGTTAAAGCAATTTGATATTTCTTTTGATTTATTTAAATTTTGCAGGTTTTCAACAAATTTATTATTATTTTGGATATAAGAATTTTATAGAACGGTTTGTCGCATTTTTAATATTTGTCCAATTTACTTTAGAGTCRAGTCATTTCCAGCTTTTTCTAGTTCTGATTTATAATATTTAGTTTTAGCTTCCTCTATTGAGTTAGTTTATGTATTCCTATATTTTAAATTGTGCTATTCAAGTTTATCATTTAATGGATGTTTTTTAAGGTCTGGTGTAGTTTATTATAAAATTTTATCTCTATGGTGAATCAATATTATTAATAATAATAATTGCAGTTGTTACCCAGGATTTAATTTTTTTGGTTTTTAATGATATTTTATTTTTCTGTAGAAAAATTATTTTCTTTTTTTTTATATACCTATTTCAATAAATTTACTTGCGGCTGAATTTACATCAAAGTCGCTGAATACCAGTGACCAATCGTAATTCTTTAATAAACATGATAATTTGTAGTGATAAACTTATTTTATTATTTTTGGATTTGGTGGGTTGTTCCTGTTGAAGACAAGGTTGCTTATATTGGTAACTATATATAACTATATATAATGGTCAGTTAAAGATGTATGAACAACAAATACTTTAACAATTGTTAATATATTAAATTTTAAAATTACATGATCTAAACAAGATCATCTTATTTTTTTTTTTTTTTTTTTGTTCTAGTTATACAGTTAATGATACTAATAAATCTAATAATATACTTCTAATAATAAAGCCATATTTGTTTAATAAATTGAGATAATTATTACCATCTATTCTATTATTAATTATATTGATTTTTAAGTCATATTTTACTATCATGAAATTACTTTTTTTGGCTTTTGCTTTATATAGAATAGTTTGTACAAATTCATCTAAAATAAAATTGATATCAATTTGGGGAGAAGATTTGTATATTCCATAGACCGTGAAGTTTGAATTTCTCTTTTTACAATTAATTTCTAGACTACACATAAATATAGTAATTAAGTCAGTTACTCATATATTTATGATTAAATTATTTATAAAAGCAATTATTCCATCATTTTGATTTGTGTATTTTGTAGTCTTGTGCATAGTATAATTTTGAATTTGAAATAGATTGTCATTTAGATTAAGTAAGTCTTGCCTAACTTTTATTAAAATWGTTATATCAAAAATAATTTTTGATTGTCAAACATTATGCAAAATTTTTATCAGCACTTTTTACATTGAGATGTATAATATTTAACAATTGAACTCTATTTAATATTTCATTTGTGTCTTCCCATATACTATTATAAGTAAATAATTAGTTTGAAAAATATGCATTATCAATCGTAAATTTACTTTTGTTTTTATTTTCATCAAAAAAAATTATAATGCTGTAATAGTATATTAAAAATTGAAAAGTAATGCATATTTTAAATAAGAGGTTAAATAATGTATGAGTGGGAATTCGTTGATTCATTGATATTATTAATTGTGTCTGATTTTTTTTGTACAGTATAATTCAGTAGTGTGAGTATAAATTAAAAAGGTCTTAATTAACATGTTCAGTGGTTTCTATTGACATGTACATAACCTAATTAATGAAATATTATTTTTTAATATTATGTTCTATTTAACATTTGAAAATAATTTATAAATATTTTTTCTGTAGTTATTGCCCAATTAAACCCAAAATGAAATAAATTTATTTTAATAGCTAAAGTATTACAGATTAAAACAATGCTTGGAAATAGAAATAATGCACAATATACGTCAATATATTATATAAAAATACTTTATAAAATTTTGATCATCGATACTTTTTATTCGTGTCTTTTTGGCCATTTCGTTTTTTCGTAGAATATTCTAACATTCTTTATACAGATATATCGGTACCCAAGTTCTTTTGCTTTTGATTTAGTCTTCCAAAGCAGCTTCCTATTGTAAGCTGTTAAACTATTAATTATATTCTTGATTCTTTGAATTCAATTTTTCCTTGTTTTTTAATGAATTTCTCTTTTTTTTTTTAAGAAGAATATTCGACTATTTGAGGTACTTCCATGTAACGATTTAATAATTCTTGATATACATTTTCAATATCAAAATGATTATTAACGTCTATTATTCCTGCAACRTCATTAACTATTGTCTCAATATTTTCATTCTGTTCCTTTTTACACCACTTATTTCAACTAGACTCAATCTTTCGTTTTGTTGATTTTTATATCTAGATTTTGTATTAAACCATCTTTTTCTTTTAAAGTATTCTCGAGCTCTAATATCCTGTTACTTAGAGTTAAGAGAGTTTCGTTACTAGTTATCTGATTTTTAATGAGTTCATCTAATCTAGTGGTTATGGTTTTGGTATCTAAATCACTGTTCTTATAAATATTTGTGTCACTGTTACCGTTTGATTGTGATATATTTTTGATAGGTGTACCATCTCCTCTATTATGTTTAAACTTAACTGTACAATCAAATGCCGCCCTTTAGATTTCGTATGACCAAAGGATTCAATGTACATTTTGGAGTATTTCATGAGCAATACATTTGTACACATAGATCATTGAATACTAACCTCGTTTCTTGAAACAGCCACCTTGCATTTAAAACACAATGTCATACTTTGACAAATTAATTAACAAAACACAACTTAGCACAATGAAGATCAAACTAAACTGAATCATAAATAGGCACATTCAAAAAATCCCATATGCCATATGGTCTTGACTTACAATTATCAATTAAATAACTTAGTCCTAAAGCCCAGTTTTAAAACATTTAATATTAATTTTTTTAATGTATATTACTGCTATATATTGTTATATATCCATATATAGATTTAGGTATATTTTATCATTTTAATTATTAGCTAATATTATTATATTGAAKATGATTCTGATTTTAATGAGAATAATAGTAATTTCAATTTAGTGATGGAAACAATTTTGGATACCACTGTTGTAAGCTTTAATTGTTTGACCACATTATTATCAAAATTAACTTCTGGTAATTATAATTATAATTAACTTCTTTATTTTCATTTTTATAATCATATATACTGAATAAAACCCATTCACAATCTCAAGAAGTTCCATCGCTGGATGGATTCTTCACTCAAGTCATCAGTCCCTTTTATTTTATTTTATTTTATTTTTATTCTATTTCTTATCAACACTTATACTCATTGTAAAAATATATTTACAGATTGTATAATAAAACTATTTTGTCAAGTAGAAAAATTAAAAGTAAATTTCATAGTCACTAAATAATAATTTATGTATATATTTATTTAAACCTTTATAAGATAAATAATCGATTACGACGTAAAGTAATGCTGTGTCAGTCGGTTATCGACATTCCACTCGACACTCAGTTACATCGGTTAGGTAGCTCAAAGATCTTTATCAAGACCCGACAATACTAAGTTGCTTTAAATATGCCACAATAACTTCGGTTGACGTCAAACGTTCGTTTTCAGTCTTTAAAAATATGTTAGCCGATAAACGACACAGCTTCACAGAAGAAAAACTTGAAATGCATATGATTATTCATTTTAATAATGAATAAAATTTTAAAAATAAATTAAGGGTTTCAGAAAATTCCCTTAATTTTTTTAATTAAGTATTTCAATAATTAATTATTATAAGTTTTACTGTAAATTTTAAATAAATAAAAATGTTTGCATATTTTTTTTACATATTTTCATGATTTTGACTGCATATTTTTTACATATTTTCATGATTTTAACTGCATATTTTTTGCATATTTTCATGATTTTAGCTACATATTATATGGCATAATTCGATACTTATAAGTGCATAAAAATCCACGCTCTATTTATAAGCAATAAGCATATTCTAATATAATATATACTGAGTATTTAATTAAAACTGTTACAAAAAAAACCTAATAGAGTAGTTATATTTTAATAACAAACACTGGATGGTAACTACACTTTCTTCACATAGAATTCTCAGGCTTTTTAAAATGAAAACAATTATTACCTTTAACTATACAACTATATGAGTTTTTGACTTATGAAAAAATATTGAGTACATAGTCTTAGCTTACCGCTTAAGGCCCCATTAATTGGATCTCCGTGACCTCAAAAATCCAAGTTGTGGCACTGTAAATAATATTATTGTTATGTATTAAATTTAATTATATCAAGGTATAATTTATAGACGCTGAGTAGTAGGTTGTCAGTAGTAATTGCCTATTGGTTAATCAATTGGAATTTTGAATGGTCAAGATAAAACCAACAACTATGCTGAAGTAACTAATAGAGGATTAAATGTCGTAATGGGAGTTTGACATCCTAGTTAGCGGTCTTTCATAAATTGTTTGCAAAAAGTACAAGCTGGGAGTTGACAAGTTGTATTTTCTATCGAACTATGAGAAGAAACGGTCCCAAAACTAATTAATACAATTTATTGATGGACATTTTAAAAATTGATCAGTTATATAACTAGTAACTAGCAATAAAACATCAATTTTGAGTGGAATCTCCAATTATTTAACTTCAGTTTTTAACATTTACACCTAGTATAAAAAAAATKAAGGTTAAAAGGGAAAACAATCATAGTCAAAAGAAAGAAAAAATCAAAAYAATTATAGTACCTTTTGGTTAGTTACATAACAAATGGACACGTGAATCGAGTAATGGAAAATATATCACGGTAAATAATATAATATAGGTTTAAATATTAGCATCACAGGAAAAAAAAGATCAAACAACCTAGCTTTAAACACAATACTAAACATTTTAGAAACATTGACTATTATTGTTTTTCCCCGTAACCCTTAAAATAGAAAAAACTGTTTGAAATATTAATTTTTCTTACTAATATTTTTATTGATATTCTTCTTTTTACTTCCAATCATCCAAACAGAAATAACCATTTGTCCTCCAAGATCGTCAATTATAAATTGACAATTTTAATCTTATATTATTAGTACAAACTCGCTGTTGAATTTCGAATATATTGATTCCACTGGTTTTGTTTCAACTTCACAAGCTATTGATTCTGCTGAACCTTAAATTTAATATATGGTATATATTTTGTATAGATATTTACAATCACGATGTGTCGACCGAAATGATATATTTCAGTAGTATTATATTTAGTGTTTACCTTCTAAATRCTTCAGTATAAGACAAGACTAAAAAATTAAAATGTAAAATATTATAAAATTAGAACATAAATAATGAGAAAATTGTTTTATAGTCTCGGAAAACTGAGAAAACCAATCTAACAAAATGTCAATCAAAATTAATACTTTCAAACTGATAAGACACCTACAGATAATGTCGTTATAGATAGGAACAGTATTCTTATCCATATTGGTGGAAAACGGCCCACGATTATAGATATTATCACAGATTATACTGGTAACACAATTATTAATATTATGCAAAATAATACGAATTTGTGGTTATACCAGGAACGGCGCTAGGATTTGCGGGGCCCCGGGCAAAATAAATAACAGTCACATTACATATTATCCAARCTAACTAATCTCTGAACAGTATMAAATATCATTTAAGAACTGCGGGGCCTTGATTATAATTTTAAAATCGCGGGGCCCTGGGCAACTGCCCCAATTGCCCCCCCCCCTCGCGCCGTCCCAGGGTTATACTAGCATTTTGTATTTTGGTTATGCAATATACAATATACTATGCCTAAATGCTGTGTACGTTTATGTGACCCAAAAAATAATAATATTTTACATTAGAATCACAAATAGCCAATAAAAAAATCTCTTATTTTTCAATTTTTGATACTTATTTAGTGAACTATATTGCGACTCGTGAAATCTATATCTATATCTATATACTGCTCAAATTTTTTCCATCAGAAACGCTTAATTTAAGTTCCTCATGCATTTTCATGACTGATCGGGAAGGGCAATTTTTGTCTGACAAGTTGTATAACCAATACTTATATCTTTAATCATGGTTGTAGCCGTTGTAGATATAAGAATATACTTTATAATTGTGATTTCGCGTTTAACTTGATTATACTTTTAATCAGACGTAGTTTTATGATTTTGGTTATTAGTCAAAGACTGACGAAAACTATGGGTTTGTTATTATTAGAGATTCTAGGAAATAGATAACTGGTAGATTTATTATTAAATTAAATATTTCTAGTTTTATTTTTATAAAGTGTACATTTTTGAACTTTATCAATTAATAATGTTTTAGCGGTCTTAGTAAAATTAATTATAATATATATTTTTTAATAATAATTATAATATTAGATACCAACATCTAACAATAATAATTTGCTATGGAAATCACCATCTTACCATTCTTACCTATTATATAAAATCAGTTAACTCAATTGAACAAGGAACATGTAAAAATGTGTTTCAATTTAATGCTTCGTCAAATTATAATTAAAAATAATGTTAGAAAAAGAAAAAGGTTAGTTTCAACATTTTTAAAAATAAAACAACATTATACGATTAATAATACTGCCAATAAATGTATAGATGCATACATTGAAAATGATTTTCATGGGTAAGTGATGTAAAATTGATTATTTAATTTAGTTTATTATTACATTTCATATGACTTACATAATTATATATTATTGTTTTTATATTTATAGAAATGTCCGAAGGACAGAAAAAAAGTATTTTTATAAAACTGGTATCAATATTTAGGGGGAACATGCACAAATGGATATATCTTATACTGAAGGTCATTAACCTTTGTCAATTGAAAAAAAAGTAAACCAATAATAGTTGCCAAGTGTAAAAAAATGTATTTTTAATTTATTTATGTAAATTGTTCAGTTGTTGAATTGTTATAGCTCTATGGTACTACACTAAAGAAGGAGCTATGTTCATCTCTGGTGAATTTTTCAACATTGCAAAATCTACTGTTAAAAAAGCTGTAGACCTAGTGGTAAATCAACTATTCAAATTCTCCTTTAAAMTAATTGTTTAGCCTAAGAAATCGGACTTTGTAGAAATTGTAAAGGTTTTTCATGAAAAATCCAATTTTACAGGTAAATATTATCAAATTTAGTTCAAAATGTACAACATTTGATTCATTAATGTTCWATTATTGAAACTATTATAATGTAGGTGTTATCATCACTATTTACGTTATTGGTGAATGACATTTTACTGTGAAACCACCTGCAGATCAACAGGATAGCTACAGAGATAGAAATTTAAACAAATCAATTCTAATGCAAGGAATTTGTACTTTCAATAAAATATTCACAAATGTAAATGTAGGATTTCATGATAGGCTACATAATGCTAGGGTTTTTGTTAACAACGAAGTATACAAAAAAGTTGATGAAGAGGGGCAAGAAGAATTATTTTACAATAATAAATATAATTTGCTAGGAGATTCTGTGTACCCTAATCTTAGCTGGTTGATTGTTCCCTTTAAAGACTATGGAAATTTAAATAGCAGACAAAGAAAGTTTAATTACACACTAATCAAAACAAGAGTATGCATAGTCCAATGATCCAAATGATGAAAGACCTCTGACTCCAGCACATTTTTTGGTTTGTGATTCCATTCTCTTACCCATTGAGCAAGACAATGCTGATATACAAATGAACAAATTGCAAAGATGGAGCAGAGTGCAATCAAAAAAAAAAAAAAAAAAAAAAACAATAATTACAGAGCACATGTTAGATAAGAATAAACTAATAAAAGAAAAAATTATCGGAAATAGCACGGCCACGTAATCGGCACCGCCGTCGCCCGTCGCCGTACCGAAAAATACCGTACATTCGATAAATACCGTATCTTTACTCGCCGTACCGAAAAATAGTGACTCACCGGTATACCGTAAATACCGCCAGCTCTAATAAAAATAATAAATGACATACCAAAATCATCAAAAGAAATTACAAGACTTTTAATATAATTTATTAAAAGTATTTATTTTATATATACAATATACATAGTATTTTATTTATAAGTTGAATACCTACCTGTACATTTAGAATAGGAGAATTTTTAACATTTTTTTTTTTAAATTTAAAATGACAAATATTGAATCTATATGTATAATGTATGTATTACATTATAATGACCATTTATTATCACATTTAAGATTTATTTAATTTAATTATGATAAATGAGTTTTGTAGTATGGTGATTGTGGGGTTGGCGACTTTCCAGGTGTAAATATATGAATTTTCACTAGTGATATTTACCTCCCAGGAAAATTTAACTAGGTCAAAATATACGGTTCCAGTGTAAGCTCCTCTCTAATTGAGCTAATTTGGTACTTAACTTGCAAGTTTAAAAAAAATGCAATATGAATTGCTTACAAAATTGAAAAGTTATATCATGCTAAAATAAAATAAAACGTTACTATGAAGTGTATCAAATACTAAAATGTATAACTAAATTATAGATTAAGTATCTATTGTTGAAATTGTATGAATTTTAACAAAAATAAATTTGGTTAAAACTTGTTCTCTTAATAAACCACAAAAAATATAACAAACAAAATATTTTAGTACATTTATTCATGGTATATTTTGTACATACAATTATAGTAATCAATATTCGAAATTTCAGTTATTTCTAGCAATAAACAATTTCATTAAAATAATCGCCTAAAAACTAATTTATAAAACGAGCATATAATAGTGTCAATATATAAACTAATTAATTTGGATATTAGTAACACTAAATTTATAATATTAAATAGCAGATTTAATACAATTACTTATTAAAATTATTGTTAAATCATAAACCCAAACCATGACAAAATCTTAGGTAATATTGTTTTGTACAGTAATTAAATGGTTTTTAAGACTAGAATTGTGAAAAAGTAGAAATTGAAAACCTCTAAACAAATGTMAATTCATAAAATAAGGTTACATTATATTATATGTAATAAATAAATAAAATATGCAAATAAATTGCATGGTACTAGTTAATATGAAAATTTTATTGTCAATGTGTTAGTGTTTAATTATAATAAATCCAATAATAGATTAAAATATTAATTGAAAATAAAAATAAAATAATCAGCAAACATTTTAGTATAGATAAATACTATTTTAATACAAAACAATTTATTAAATATTTATTATGTGTTAATTACATCTAATGTCTACATACAATGTATAAAATATGTTATTCATTTTTATACTTGGATTAAGATAATCTAAACATGTTATGTGTGTAAAGGGCATGTAGTAAATTTTATCATAAAATGTATCTGCACCACTAATAATGATCATATAATTGAAACTGTGTATGCACTATACATGTTTTATATAATGTTCTTTAACATAAAATGTTAATACCTATAGATTTTTTGTTAAATTAATGAATATATTAATTTTTGTTTATGAAAGAATTCAGTAAATCATTATGGTTGCATCAAACTTTAAATTGGAAAAGAAAATATAGAACAAAAGGACAAAAAATATTTAGACCAAGACTCAATTTTTAATCTTATAAATGCTACTTAATAATGACACAAATTTAAAAATTAATAATTTTTGTTTTGTCTGAAGCAACATTACGATATGGAATCAGAATATTATACTAAGTTAGACTTAAATATAAATTGCAAATAATTATAATCCAAGATCTATTCAATTAAAAATAAAATTTAACATATTATGTATTATTTACTCTATTTGAGAGCAATTTAAATAAGAATAATCTAAGAAGCCCCTGATTTTAATGTTTATATAGTTTCTATATAGTATGATATTGATAATTTAGACAAATACAAACAAGCATTTACTGAACTGTTGAAGGGTTTTCAAGGGTGCTAAATGACAAAGAAACATAATCCCATAAAATGTATTCATCAGTTCTAATAACAAATGACAAAAAAATCTTAGATTATTTATTAAAAATAAGTAATTAAGGTTTTCCCATAAAGGTTCAAATTAGTTTAATTATTTATTTCATAAGTTATTTATAAATTACATTATATTATATTATATTCATAAATTATTTCATAAAAAAAAAAAAAAAACGATACTTTTTAATTTATTAAGCAGTGCTGCTAACTTTCAATAAGAGAATTAAAACATTTTTTAAGAATAGAAACGATTCAGCAGGAGTGAACAGAAGGATCCCAAAGCTTAAAAATAATGAAATTGTTGAAGATAAATTTGTTTTATAGGTTGATTGTGTTCTAAAATGTTGAACAAATTACTATAAATGGTTTTGGTCTGGAGACAGTCAATATAACACTGTAAATTAAATTAAATGAATTAATGCTAAATATGATTTGCTAATTACAATTTTGAAATG